CACAGGTAAGTTAGAAGCTGTTCAACACAACAGGGATAATATAAATGGATCACCTTTTGAAATGCTGAAAAGAACATTAATTTTCCTGTGGCCAGAAAAATAAATGCTGTAAGTATATTGCTTAGCTAAAAAAAAAACATGTTGTTGTCAAATTACAACGTTTGTGTATAAGAGTTAAAGAATAAAAATAGTACTCTATATGCATGTTCAGGTTTCAAATTCCAATTGAAGTTACCAGTGTTTTTCTCTTTTATAGTGGGGTGAATGTTGTTCCATTCCTAGAGGTGATTGGCTTACCAGACAGTGTAGTAGACATCCTGAAAAATTCCCAGAGTGGAAATGCACTAACTGCATATGCATTGTATAAAGTAAGTATAATTATAGTTTGTAAATAAGCACTAAATCTTCCCTGGTGTACTAAACAGGGTTTACTTGTTTACAGCAGAAAGAATTAGTTAACTTTCTTTGACAGTTACTTGAGCATTCATTTTTGTAGTAAAAATGGTCCCATGCAAGTTGATATGTGTTCTGTGTTCTTTCAGGGAGTCTGCCTGCATTTCTAAAATAGCTTCTTTACTCCAGAACTATTGCAGCCCTCTGAGATTTAATGACAATTAAGTTATTAAGTTATTCTTCTGTATCCCTGACGTAATTATCAGGGACAAAGGGGTAAAGTCTAAACACTTCATTGAATTCCAGATAAAACTACAGTTATTTTAATCCTAGATGATTTTTTGTCTTTCTACCTTAGTTGTCCATCACTCTCAAGTATTTTCACTGTCCATTTGAATAAATTACTTACACTCAGGTTTGGCTTTCCTTTTATTGCTTTATATGTGCAAAGTCTGTGTTTTGGAAACTTGAAACATGTCAGACCATGCACAAACAAGAACGAGTGTTGGCTGTGCGTGCCACTCATTTGTTTTGTTTACAAATGTGATGTGCCTCTTGCCTGTTATTCAAAGAGGTTATTTTCCCCAACAAAATATGAAAGTACCACTCTTTCCGATTTTTCCTGTGCCTAAAAGAGACCAATAAATTAAATATATTGTTATAGCTGGGAGATCTGGAGTGTTGGAAGAAACTCAGTATTCACATGCTTTCTGTTGTGATGCCGAATGCTTGTCCTACAAGCTGCACAGGGAGGGTTTGTGTGTTGTTTAGTTTTTTTAAGGGAAGTCTAATGCCCTTGCTGACTCTGACAAAATGATACTTTCAGTAAAAGGTATGCATTTCTAGGAGATGCACTGTAAACTGGTTTATAAATTGAAGATATCTTTAGAATCTAACACTGTTCAAAATAAATTTTGAACATAAAAAAATACCTTTTGGTGGATGTTATTGTCTCGTTTTATTTATGTGGTGTGTTCTCTGGTTTCTTTAAGATTGCAACTCCTGCCAGATACACTGTGACTTTGGGAGGAACATCCATCACTGTTAAATATCTGCGTAAGCATGGCTACATGTCCACACCACCACCAGTAAAGGAATATATACAAGACAGGATGGAGGAAACAAAGGATAAAATTACGGAGAAGATGGAGGAAACAAAAGATAAAATTACAGAGAAGATGGAGGAAACAAAGGATAAAATTACAGAGAAGATACAAGAAACCAAAGATAAAGTTTCATTTAAAAAAATAAAGGAGTAGGAGAGATGCCTAATTTTTGGATATATCAAACTTAGCACTTTAACCCTTTGTGAGGCAGGATATGCAAAGTGCACTTCTGGGCTTTTTTTTTCCTTTTCCCCCCTTATCTGGAGACTACAATTGGAGAGTGGATCTAAAGGTTAAAGTTACCTGAGGGAGAGGTTTTGACAAAATTTCAATTTACAGAAGCAAAAGTGAATCTCAGATTAGAAGTTAACATGTCCCTTGGTAATAATGTTAACAGTTACTCTTCCCTCTTTTTTCCTCATACCCTCCTCCTCAAAATGAAGGTGATTTCTGCCAAAAGCCACTACTTTATTCTTCTTCCATTATAGTGCACAGCCATTGTTCCACTAGACCGAGCCCTCCATTAAATGAGAATGAAGATTTCTCTGTTGGGAAGGGCAACATGTTTAGGTTTTTAGAGTATGTGGACCCAAGCCTCTTCAATCGTGATCATCTCTCAACTTGGAGCAGACCATTGTCACTGATACTGCACATGAAGGAATTAATAGATCAGCTATTCAGCAGGAATTAATTACAGTGGCTTCCTTGGCTTCAGGCAGGCTGCAGTGGTTTACAGGTTGAGACTATGAATCATTCTTGGACAGTGCATCTCTTCAGAAATCTCAACTGAAAGCTCTAGGAAGGTGAATTAATCACAGTAGCCACACTGTCAAGTATACTTTGTTTCCTGAAGTTGATTTGCAGTAGAAAGTCATTAAATGAAATTAATCAATAATTGTATATTAAACGCTAGGATTTGTTTATTGTGTTAAAGTTTACAAACCTGGTCTATTTCATTTTTGAGACAAAAAATAAAATTGAAAGAGAAGTTTGTTGGAGAAATTGCTATATTAAGGGGCTTTTTAAACACATGAAAAGTTGGAGTTAATCCCCAAAGTTCATCCTGCTTCAGAAATCCATCAGACTTCAGTTAGAACAATTTGACTAAAACAAGCATGATTTCTGAGACAGTGATCACAGTCTACCAAACTTTTTTACCCCTAGGTTTCTTAAGTCAAGCAAACACTTATTCGTACCTGAAGGCTGAAATGCTGTCTCAGATGTCATAAAGGACTAAAGTTGAAACTGTTCTATTTGACTGGGCAGGCAAACTTCTCTCAGTCTTATTCAAATGTCAGCTAAACTGAAGTGTGTTTTTCCTATTTCTACTACAAATCTCACTTGGTAGCAACTGTGCATGCTTAAGTTGCTTAACAAAAGTGGGTTTTTTTTTGAAGGGGGATATGGGGAGGCAACAGAGTTGGACCCCGAGCACTGCAAATTACTGGAGTGAAAGAATATAGCTGATGAAGTATCAGCACTGCCCCACTGTCCTGTTTCCATTCAAATCACTGAGGGCCTCTCCGTGTTTGAGTTGAACTTCATTAACTTAATTGTGCAGGATTGATTACATACTCCTCTGCCTCTGTCCACATGTGAAATAGTAACTGCAATCTAATGCCTACCTCACAGGGATGTTGTGAGGAATAATCATTGTATATTCAGTGACCTGAAGATGTAAAGTGCCATGTTTCTGATAAATATTAAAAAAATATTTCTGTGAATTCTTAAACTGCTAAGCACTCTTGTAGGACTGGACTTAATAGATGCTATTTTGTTTTTCTGTTTTAGTGTGCTTTTCCTTACTGTTCCCATGCTCACATTCTTCTGATGCTGGCATTTGTTCTGGTTTTCCACTTTTGGGGGCAGTGTTACCCATGTACCCTGCAAAACCCAGAGTGTGCCCCAGTAAATACTGCAAGGTCACTCTCAATCTGGGGCCACATGTGAGAACCTTGTCATTGCAACTTACAGGATCCATCTCTTCTTTACACATGGGAGGGATTGCACAGGGGGCACCTTGGTGTCCTAGGATGAGTTTTATCCCTTAGACATGTTAGAACTTGTTCATTACACTTCTTCTTGCCCTTCCCCTTGTTCAGCTGGCCTGTGACCATTCCAGTGTTCATGTGATCCATCTCTACTAATGCGAAGTACAAAAGCTGTTTGACTTGGAGTTGGCTGTTCTGTGTGTGATCATTTCTGTAGCTGCAGGAACAGTTCATAGTGACTCTTGGCAAGTGTCTCCTCTGGTCAATTTTACAGCACGGAGAAGCTTGAGGAGTTTCTGGGACAGCCACAACCTCTACCCAGCATGTCAGTTACAAAGCACACAGTTACCTACATCGATTTATACAAAGCAAGAGGGGAAATCTTCAAGACTTTGGAATTTTCAAGACGAGAGCTTTTTGACTTCAGCAAGTCATATGCTTGGTTGTACTGGTGACCTTGTCTCAAACTGGCCTCATATGGAATCAGGGCATTGCCTCCTAAGTGCAGAGACCATGTGGGGAGTTTCCTGCGCCTCCCAGGAATGAATGTAAGTCCACTGGGTGCCCAGGAGGTACCCAGCTATGCTGCAGTTTTAGCTAGGCTAAAGTTGACTTTCATTCTTTGTCTCACTTATAAATTATATTCCATAGCTCTTGCCATGATACTAAGTGTTCGTGACGGTCAGCATGAGTCTGCATGGCTGGAAGCTAGGGGCCACCACTCTTCGGGGAGGCAGTGTGCCCACACTGTGCTGGCAAGCTGGGGCAAGGAAGGGGCACCTGGGGGCAGCACAGGGTCTCCTGGTGCTCAGACCAGCACACTTGGCACTCTCATGTGGCAGCAGTATCCCTTAAGGTGGAGCAGCATCAGTAGTGCCTTCAGTGGTAGAGAAGGAGCAGGGAAGCAGGTGCCAGGGCCAGGGAAAACAGATGATTTGGCTGCAGCAACAAGAGCAGGCCCTGAGGCAGCCCACAAGTGACCCAAGCAACGCAGTGCCCAGCAAGTGCCCAGAGGTCTTGATGAGGTGAAAAGCCCAGACAGAAACCCAGGAGCACCTTCCATTGCCTGCAGGACCAATCAGTGCTAACCGGGCTTGCCTTTTTTCCCCCTGGCAGCTCAGCATCCTTGTGGGAAAGGGCTGTCCCTTCAGGCCCTAGAGGCTGGATGCGGGCATGGGTCTCTCCACCTCAGTAAAACTTCAGAAATCTGGTGAGACACTGTCTGTCACTATGTGCACAGCAGGAGAATGGCAACTTTTCGCACCTCTGTCTGCTCCCTGCAYCACATGTAAYGCCRCAGCACRGCATCACCTTGTCTGCCTCTGYTCTAGGCACAGGCACAGAGGCACTGAGTCCCTGCCAGAGAAGCTGAAAACAAAGGCACAGTCCAAGTAGAAGCTGAATTAGTACCCAAGCAGGACTTGCAACCAAAGTTAGAGCCTGAGAGTTGACCAAGTCACAGTGTGCGATGGGGCTGGACCTGAAGCTGGTACAGTGCTCAGCTGCAAGCCTGAGCAGGCTGGGCCCACCATTGGGCAGCCCAGGATGAGTCCAGAGTATATGCTGCGATCAAAGCAGGGAATCCGTGTCAAAACTGGGGCACCAGGATGGAAATGATGTAGATGTTACAATCCAAGCAGGGGTCAGATCTGAAATCACGTCCCAAACCGGTACTGGAGCTGAAGTTGCAAACCAATGCAAAGCCAGAGCCAACATCACAACTTGCTACTTTGCTGGAGCCTAAGTTGTGGCTCAAGATGGAAAAGAGACAAAATCACAGCCCAAGCACTGTTCAGAGCCAAAATTGCAGCTGAAGTTGGGCCCAGAGTCAAGGTAACATCCCTACAGGAGCTGGAACAAAAATCATGGCCCAGTATCAGGCCAAAACAGCAGTCACCAGCTGAGGGAGTGGCCAGAGCCACTGGCCTTTTGGCCAGAGCCAAAAGATGCATAACCCAAGACAGGCTGGAGCCAAAGCCATGGCCAGAGACAGGGGCCAGAGGCTACACTGCTGAGCACACTGCTGTGGCTCTCACTGCCTGAGCATGGACCAGAGCCAAATTTGAGTTGGAGGCAAGTAATGGCCCAAGACAGGGCAGGAACTGGGGTCACAGCCAAGTATTGGGCCAGAGCTGGAATCATGCTCAGAAATACCATGGAGATGGAGCTACAGACCGGCACGGGACTACAGGCACAGCCAAAATCTGCTATCCAGTCCTACCCATAGTCACAGACCAAATAGGTACTGAAGCTGAAGTGGTGACCCAGTATTAGGGCAGACCTGTCTCAGAGGCCCAAGATGTGTCTGGAGCTGAAATCATGACCTGAAACTGCAATGGAGCTAGGGTCACATCTAGAGATGGGCCCAGAGCTGAAGCCATGGCCCAAGACTTCCCCTAGAGGCAAAGTGACAGCCCCAGGATATGACAAGGGACAAATTAGCAATCTAAAGAGAGGCCAGAGCCACAGACATGGTCTGAGATTGAGCCAGAGCCAAAGATGCAGCAAAATGGCACCGCCACAGATGTTACAGCTCAGAATGGAGTTGGAGCTGAAATCATAGCCTGATACGGGGCTGGAGTCAAACTTGTGCCTTGAAATGGGGCCAGAGCCAAAGTCACAGCTCAATATGGGACTGGAGCTGAAGTCGTGATCCTCAGGGCCTAGAGCAGGGACCAGAGTTGAAGCCCTGAACCAAAAACTGATCCAAAGTCATGGCCTCACATTGGACAGGAGCTGAAGACGTGGCTCAAAAATAGCCACTGCAGGCTGAACAGGGAACAGGGCTGAATTCACTACCCAAGAAGCAAAAGCTGCAGCCTGAAATGGGCTGAAGCGAAAGTCATGAATCAAGCAGGCACCTAAGCCAAAGTTGCAACTGAGTATCAAAGCAGAGATGCGCATGGTGGGGTAGCCAGTCAAAGTCACAGCTTGACACAGGGCTGAACCTGAAGTAGCAGCCAAAATGAGAGCTGTAATAGCCTCCCAAGCAGGGCAGAGCCAAAGCTGTGATCGACCATCAAGCCCTTGGCAAAGCATCTGGCCAGAGATTAAGTCACAGCCCAATACCAATCCAGAACCAAAATTGCAATTGGAGATCAGGCTGGAGCCAAAGTGGGAGACCAAGTTGGAAATTAAGCCAATTTTGTGGCCTGAGCAATATCTAGAGCCAAAGTTGCAGATGAAGATGTTGCTGGAGACAAAGTCACAAACCAAGACAGGGCCAGGGCCAGAGCCAAAGCTGTGGCCCAAACAGCAGCCAAGTCACAGCAGCCTCCTGAGGAGGGGTCAGACCCAAAGCCTGGGCAGACCCAAAGAAGCCTCCTGAGCAATGGCCAGAGCCAAAGTTATGGCCAAAGATGGGGTTGAAGCCAAATTTCAGTCCAAGATGGGGCCAAGCAAAACTCCTGGCCCAATATCGAGCCAGAGCTGCAGTAGCAGCCTGAGGTGAGCCAGCGCTTAAACTGCTGCCATAGATGGGGCAGGAGACAAAGTCTCACTCCAATAGCTCTACAAAGCAGAGGTCAACAGCTCAATCTGGCAGCAGTGCTGAAGTCACAGCCCAAGCAGGAAACAGAGCCAAAGCTGCTGCTCAATATCAGGCAGGACCCAAAGTCACAGACCGTGAAGGGCAGAGCAGAGTCAAAGCAGAGGCAGAGTAGTCATGGGGGCTTCAAGTCAGAGCTGGGGACAAGCTCATGAGCCCAGGTGGGCCCAGAATCAAAGCTGTGGCTCAAGATGGGTCCTGGAGCTGCAGTCTTTGCCAAAGATGGGGCTGGAGACATGACAGAGGCCCAAGATGGCTCCTGATCTCTACTCACAGCCAGAACAGAGGTCAGACCTGCAGTCACCGTCTGAGATGGGACCAGAACTAAATCACAGCCCAGCCAGGAGCCAGAGCTAAAGTAACAGCCTGATACCAAGTTGGAGCTGAAGAGAAAGGACCAAGGAGTAGGGGCTGGAGCTCAACTCAAGGAGTGATACACAGCCAGAGCCAAACCTGTGACCAGGAACTGGGAGGAGAAAAGTTGCAGACCAGATGGAGTTGAGCAGAAACAGCAGCTCAATACTGGGCCAAAGCTAAATTTTCAACCTGAGCAGGACCCAGAGTCAAAATCACACCTCAAGATGGGCCCAGAACAAAAGTCAGAGCCTGACAGGGGAAACACTGAAGTCTTAGCCCAAGAGGAGCTGTAATCTTGGCCTGAGCAATGGCTGGAGCTGAAGCAATCGTGAAAATGGGACCAGAATAACATCCTGAACAAGGACCAGAGCCAGTCACAGCTGAAATTAGTGCCCAAGCTGAAGGCACAGCTGAGCCATTTGAGCAGGGTTGGAGCCAAAGCTGTGACCTGCTAACAGGCCAGAGTGAAAACAGAGACCCAAGATGGGGCTGTAGCCAAAGTTGAAATAAATTGCTCTGATTGTGTCCCCTTCAGGATGTCATCTTAGGGCATTGCACCACATTTATCCTTGTTCATCACTTACCATCAGCAACAATAATAATTAGAGAATTGTAATTATCCCCTGGCAATTAGCTGCCTATTTATATGATCTTCTTAAGCAGAAGGAATACGTCTTGATTTCAAAAGCCTGCAGGGCAACATGTAGTGTTAAGTTTGGGCTTGAGTTTGATGAATTGATTGGACAATCACAGGGGAGGATATTTAGGCTTGTTTAGGAATACTGGAAAAAAAAAAAAAACAGGAAAAAAAAACCAACCCAGACTTAATACAACAGGGGATCACTTTCATAAAGAGATGTAATTAAAGAAAGATTTCTAGCTGCTTTTTGGT